TGGTTTGAATAGCTGGGTGGTGGTGGTGCCACATAAGAATATAGAGGAAGTGGGTCAACTGGCGTCAGTGGGTCAAATGGCACTTGAGAGAATGGCTAGATGTTTACACAGAGCCTCATGTGGACAGAGTAGAGTTCAGGTACACATAAATTCCATCAGCCCTGGCAAGTAGATGATTTAAAACCATGTGACTAAAATGGGTAACATAGTCCCAACTTGGACAGTGAATATTCACAGGCTTAATAAGAAAGGGCAACTAGAAAAGGTGACAAGGGAGTAGAGTGAGCTGGGAAGAACAAGTAGAGGATACTGTCAGGAAAGTGAAGAAAGTGCCTCAAGAAGGAAGGGCCACCTTCATGGAATTCTGCAGAAAAGTCAAGTAGAGTAAGAATAGGAAAGTTATTTGGGGGGGGTTGGACAACCAGGAAGTGATTTGTACTTTTGGGAGGAGTTGTTTAAGGGGAGGATGAGACCTGACACTTTACACACTCCAGGAGGGACTGAGAAGACAACAGAAGGTGAGCAGGTACGAGTAGTAGGAGAGTCGTGAGGTTTTGTCTCCCAAGGAATATCCACACTTAAGTACTCAAATGTTCACACTGTAAGTTACATTTATTTCACATGATGCATGGAAGCTGCTGCTATCTAGCATAAAGACTAAATTTTTCAGAGTGATGGAGTAAGAAATAAAGTGGGATTCTGTGAGAATGGAATTTTCCATTCCATTTCCTTGTGCACTTTCAACCAAGAATGCAGTAAATTTGCTGGGCACTACCAACATTGCTATTTCAAGTCTTGTACATGTGAATTCAAGCAGAGCCATGCCATTTCTATTTCTTGTGGGTCATCATGACTAGTAACTTTTTCTAGGGCTCTTGACATCTGCACCTTAGCTCTTGACTGAGAAATAACAAAGGTTTTTTCCCCCACATCTCTAGGCCTTCCCACTCACTCCAAAACTAGAAATTATTCTGGCAAAAAGACTCATGACCTCTGAAACTGCTTCATGATTGAATCTTTGGAACCATGGGTGACAAAAGGCTGTGACCACAAGCAACTTCTATTCATCTTCATTGGTGGAATTAGTCTGACATTTTGTCAGTCAATTCTTAGCTGCTTAGCAAAGTAATTTTCTAAATTTTATGCAGCACTTATAGGCTAAGCTCATAAGCACAGAGGGGATGTGTGCCAGGGTCAGGGGGAGGTGAAAGGGAGGTACTCTGTATTTTCTAAACTCCTAGCAAATTGAGTGGGAAATACACATATATGTATATAATTTTAGCTTAAAATAGGGAAAATATTTTGGAGATATTTGAGCAGATTAACAAATCGTGTTTGTATACATGCAACTAAAACAGTAATTTATCAGGTGGAAGGCAGATGGGAGAATGCAATGCCAACCTGTGTCTACAGTTGGGTTTTGTTGATGATGAAGTGCTGTTTATTCAGGGCCAGCCTAGCTTGTCAGTAACAGAAGATCCACCACAGCACATGACTCCCTGCGTAGCTAGAAGACAATAATAAATTATCTCCTATGCAAACAGCACCGGCATAAAAGCAGAACAAACAGACTGTGCCTCCCGGATGCCTGAAGATTCTCACTCATTCCCTTGTTTAATTCTATTTTAAAGATAAAACTCTTGACATTATTCTAAAGCTGATAAGATTGAATCTGGCTTGGACAATTTTATTAGGGCACATAGGACATCGTTACTGATTATCTCTGGGTGTTACTACAAAATATAAATATTTTGTTTCTTTAATTTACCTAATGTTTCATATAACTTTTCTTTCATCAATACTTCATTTGAGCCTGTGGAATTCAGAGTCACCCAGTGACAACTGGGACAGTGTTACCCAAAGGACCTAGATCATAAGAAGCACTTGAGGAACACAATGAAAATACAGATTCTTACATCCAGCCTCCAACCTGGTAAATAAGAATCTCTAGCAAAGCAACCCCGAAATACACACTCCAGGGTGATTTTTATGATGAGACTGCTATGAGGAACCAGGAGCTGAGGGCATGAGTGAAAGTAAGTTCCAGGACAGTGCTGAGAGCAGGAAGGACTGGTCTGCAGGAAAGAAAACCAGTTGACAAAGGCCTCCTTAAAGCAATGTTTGTGGATTTCAATGTGCATGGAATCACCCGGTGGGTGGAAAAGGCAGACTCGGCTTCAGCAGGTCTAAGGGTGGCCAGAGACTCTTTTCTAACAAGGGGTGTCATGCAGTCAGTGCAGCTGGACTCGGCTCCAGTAAGGTTCTAGAACCATTAGCATAACACAGAAGAATCCGAAAAGACTGGGGTGTGGCCGCATTTCCAAGTGGTCTGCAAGCATGGCCTGGAATGCTGCTGATTCTTTTGAATCCTCATGTTGCGTTCAGATACAAGTAAAACCTGCCCTCTCTTACTGGAGTGGCAGCCAGGAATGTAGGGATAATTGTTACTATATGAGAAACTCTCCACTGGTGTGTCTTCTTTTGAAAGTTTATGAGTACATCTGGGGAGCAGGTTATTTACATAATAAAAAATATTCAGAAAGGAAAATTACAGGGCTTCTCATAGTAATGCCTTTTACTTCTACATGAGTGATTGATTCAGCCACTCATTTGTGCCATTGGGATTGAACCCGCACCCTCTTGCCTGTGAGGCAAGTGCTGTACCACTGACCTACATCCACAGTGGTAATTTGTTTTTGAAAAACGATACTTAAAGATTGTTAAGATGCCATTTGGGTATTAAGTTGAAAGTATGAGAGCTGACAGTATACTTTTTGGAGCACATGCTTCCAAAAGTTATTACTGTATATATGACATTGTATACTTCATTACCAAGTCTGGACAATGGACTCTCGGTATTCATCAGCAATATTTCTGGAGACCTTTGTAGATTCCTATGTGTGATTCCTTCTGGCCTGTTACAATTTTTGTCTGGATGTCCCCCTGAAGCCTCACGCTGTCACAGGGGGCAGGCTTTTCAGAGGTGGCTGAATATAAAGTTTGTGATTGATTCATGGTCTAATGCAAGGATTAAGGGTGTGAGTGCTACACTCACCCTAGGTGGGCAGCCTGCATACAATATAAGGGACAGAAGGAGGCTTGCTCCCTCCTCCTCTCTTGCTGCTTTTGCTGTCTTCCGCCACCATGAACAGTCGCCTCTCCGCCACACCACCCTGGCTGATTGTGAACTGAAACCTCTACAAACTGTGGGCTAAATAAGCCCTTCCTCCTTTCACATTGGGTGTCAGGGATTTTGTCTCAGCGATGAGAGAAAAGTAAGACATGGCCTAAAAGGGAAAGGTGCCTAATGGGTGAGCTGCTATGGGGTAGATAGATAACAAAGACCCCCCAAAACAGAGACCCTGGTGATCAGCAGGGCCCGCACACTTACCAAGGATCTCTTGTACAAATACCAAAGCCATTGGAAGTGGCTGGTCTAAGCCACAAATAATCGTATCCACAGGCTTCAAAAGTTACCACATGCAAACATTAGTGTGATCGTGGAAGACGTCTGTAATTGTGCGCCCTGCCCTATTTAGCTCTTCACAGTGTTTATCTGAGAAGGGATGTATGGCACTTCTGTGTTCTGCTGTATACATTTCTGCATTGTTTTAATATTTTGTCGGGGTAGGCATAATTCTCATTACTGTAATAATCAGAAAAAAATCCAGAGAATTCTTAAAATCCTTTGACTGGATGTCATGCTTTTAATTGAGTAGTACAATAGATTGTTGATTGATTATACATGCTTACTATATATACTCATACACACAGCACACACACAATGCACACAGGCAAACACACACAGTTATTGCTTAACATCTGTGAGAGGTTGGTTTCAGGACCCGGCTTAAACACCGAAGTTTCTTGTATAAAATGGTGTCACATTTAGGTAAAACCTAGGACTATTCTGTCATAGTTTCAAAAACATAGTCATTGTATTCTTTAGAGAATGATGATGAGAAAAAAATCTGTATCTATTGAGTAAAGATGAAGTTTTTCTCTGATTATATGCAGTAAACTGTTATGTGGACTCACAGATATGTTGAACTGTGGATATACTAAGCCAACCGTACGCTTATAGAAGCTCTGATAGAGAATTGTGCCGCCCAGGGATTTTGTGTATGTGTCTTTCCAGTCATTTCACAAACATTTCTTGAGCATCTGGTCTGTGCCAGGTGCTGAGATAGGGGCTCGCATGTAATCATCACAGTTGTTCTACAAAGGGGACAATTTGTGGAAAAAGTGGTTCTCTCACTGCAGTTAATAAAATATACAGAGGCAGTGCATTTTCTGTAAGTGATATAAGTCACAGGTCTAGGTAGTTTCTGGACGTATTTACTTCTCCATAGCTGCCACATATAGCAAGTAGATCTGACATCACATCTCTTAAAAAAAATTCTCTTGAAGGCCAGGGAGGTAGCTCAGCGGCACAGCACCTGCCTGGCAAGTGCAAGGTCCTGAGTTTGATTCTTGGTACAAAAGAATTCTCCTGTGCTTCTACACTAGAATAACAGCTACCCAGTAAATTCAGCTAAGCTCATCTTTAGAAATTTCTTTTTGGAATAGTCGTTAGAAAACAAAACTGCAGGAAAGAACAATAACTTTGTCTTATTTTTTGATGATTGTCATCATAGCCAACACTTTTATATAGGTCTTATATATGGTAAGAGCAATAAATACGCTTTGCAAACTATGCTTGAATAAATACTTTTTAAAAGAAATATTTTTAAAAAGAAATGTTAAGATATTTGTTTCTTCTCTCAACTGTTAGCAATGATGGCAAAGAATTCTTTTTTCTTGGTCTTGGAAAACAAGTAAAGTGCATTATATTCCATGCGTGAAAGTTTCCCAACTTTCTCAAAGCAAAGCATTCCTTTCACTTGTCTCTTCCAATAAGGATATGTCCTGACACACCACAGGACTGAAAGGATTTGCGGTACAACTCCCCATAGCTAAGCAATTGGGCACTAATACCAGATTTCTTGTTCTCATTTCAGAACTGTGTGTTTCACAGCAATATCACCAGTGATTTGAAAGCATTCACAGATAAGTTCAACTTTGATGTCCTCATCCTGTTCTCCAGCTACCTGTCAGAGGATCAGCAGCCTAGACGGCAGATCGCTGTGTACTCTCAGAACCTGGAGCTGTGCAGTCAGGTGAGCCCTTCCTTTGATCCCAACTCATTTCCATGCATCCCAATCTGATGGCTTTTAGAATAGTTGGTGGGAGATGGGAATGGATTTGTGGCTTGTAAGAAATTTCCCCAAGAGATAAGTGTCCTTAGAGTTGAGTTTTAGAAAATACTGGGGGTATATTGCACACTGGGTCTTTTAAGATGGCCTGCGTTAGTTCATTTCATGTGTCTGCAACAAGGGGTCTAACAAAACACCTGAGGCTGGATATTTGATAAAGAAAAGAGATTTATTTAGCTCACAGCTCTAGATCCAAGAGCATGGCACTGGCCTCTGTTTGGGTCTGTTGAGGGTCATGGCAGACGGCATCACCTCAGTGGGAGTACACAAAAGGTCACATGGTGAGGCAGAAAGTAAGGAATGAGCTCAGATAACTGAGCTTGTTTTATAGCACCCACTCTTGTGAGAGCTGATCCAGTCCCATGAGATCTTCACTCATTCCCTTCTGAGGGTGATGTTCCCATAACTTAATCACCTCCCACGAGGCCCCCTCCTAAAGTTCCACCACATTAGCATTGCCACACTAAGGACCCAGCTTCCAGCACAGGAGCCTCTGCACTGCACCCTCGATCCCTGTCTAACCCATAGCACAGTCCTAATGATTTCTTTCTAGCAAGTAGAAAGATTAGACTTTTCTCCATAGAAAGATTAGACTTTTCTCACCCAAATGAAGGCAAATCCTCCTTTAGGGCCATTTCTTCGAGGACTACTTTCAGGTCATAACAAGGTGTAGTCTCTGTCTCAATACCCACTGTGCCCAAAATTTAGTAACTGGTCACCTAATGCTTTGATACATGTTTCTGTCTAAATACCAAGATTCTGACTGGGTCAGCCATTGGAGCCTTGTGCTGATGGCTGAGTCTTTTAACCCAAAGCCTATAACATTAAAAAAAAAAATTATACAAAACGGAAGCTGGGCTAGGGATGTAGTTCAGTGGTAGAGGGCTTGAGTAGCAGTGAGAAGCCCCAACACTGCAGAAACATCCACTGCATATACCAGACTGGTGCAGCTGATGCACGACCTGTTATGGTATGAACCACGTGAGCACAGAGCACATCTATCCTCATCTTTTGTCACGTCCACTCCTTCCTGTCCAAGATTTTCTCTCCATCTCAGCTCAACTAGCACAGCTTCTGGGTTTCTCTGTACTTTCTCATGTTCCCCAGCCAAGAAGACACCCTGGCCCTGGTCGTGCCCCGCCCCCTCCACCCCGCACCACCCTGTGCCAGATGAGCACCACATCATTCTGTACTTTCTTCTGTAACTGCTTTCAAAATGGAACCTTATCTTCAGTTGCTGCCTTCCCAGGATCAACACTGAGGCTACCTAAACCTCTAATATCGTAGTTTTCAAACCACAAGCAAAGCCCTTTTTGAACCCATTTGAAAATATGTTCCCTTAAAAAGACATAAGTAGGGGCTGGGAATTTAGCTCAGCGGCAAAGCGCCTGCCTGGCAAGCGCAAGGTCATGAGTTCGGTTCCCGGTACCGGAGAAAAACAAAAAAAAAACAAAAAAAAAAAAAAAAAAAAAGACATAAGTAGAAAAGTGGATGAGAGGTTTGAAGCTTGAAAGCCCTTGAACGAACTCCTCTCTTCCCTCCCTCGCCTGCCCTCCCCACCCCAGCAGTGCCCCTGAGATGGCCCCAGAATCTCAGGAAATGCGCACAGGACCAGGCTCTGAACCCGGGGAGCCCCTCTGTCTTGTGCTTACACAACTGGTTAGGAATCTGTCTCTGCAGCTCAACCGCCTGAGTCCAAAACAGTCCCGGCACTGGTTAGCCCTATGTCGTCAAACAGGTTACTCAACTTTCCTGTGTCATTTCCTCATCAATAAAATGGGAATTACAACAGTCCCTACCTTGTACAATTACTGTGAGGATTAAAGGAGATAAAGTCATAAAACTCTCACACTTAGGAAAGCACTCAATAAATATTTACTATTATTTCTGTGATTCTGTGACTGTTGCTATCCTTATTAATTTTTACCTCCAGTAATCCTTTAGGGTCTTTTCAACACGCCAGTGTGGTAAAACACTCCCAATACTGGCTAGACATTAAAGAACGAAGCCCACCTCTGGCCTTCCATGGGCTGTCTGTCACAATGTCCCTCTGCCTCCCAGGTGGCTTTGTTTATTCAGGGCTCCATGTCTTGTTCCCTGGGAAGAAGGGATAGAAGGGTCCTGTGTGCCGTTGGAGAAACTCAGCCCTGGTAGCTTTTTTTTCTTTCCTATGTTCTCCTTTGCCTTGTGAGTCCTGCCTGCCTTTCCCCCTTTAGTCCAACCTTGGCCTCGAGTCTTTGTCAGTAGCCAGCGTTATGTCTGTTTTTGAAATCCAAGTTTCTCTTCTGTTGGAAGAGTTCTATAGAACGGTGTTCTATACATCTAGGAAAGGAATTTAAATGGCTTTAAACTTTTCTGCCCATAATTTTCAGGAGCCAGTGAAATCTAGCAGCTGTATTTTGAATTAAATGAGAAAACACTTTGATAGGATTGGGGAAAAAATTTGGTAGCAGATTAAGTGGGATGTTTATGTCTTACATTATACAATTATCAGTTGTTTAATGTCTTCTTTTAAACAGATGAACACAAATTAATTTTATATTAAGAAATATTTAAAAAGACAAACTGCCAGGCCCACAGATTGCCTGAATTGCTCACTTGTAATCCCAGCACTTTGGGAGGCTGAAGCAGGAAGGTTTCAAGTTGGAGTCCAGTCTGGTTAATTTAGTAATTTAGTGAGCCCCTGTCTCAAAATAAAAAGGACTGGGAATATAGCTCAGTGCAACGGCCTTGCATTCAGTTCTCAGTTGGGGGGCAATGCCTGTGTGTTTATACAAACTGTTGTTCCTCCCAACAGATTTGTTGTGAGCTGGAAGAGTGTCAGAATCCTTGCCTAGAACTGGAGCCCTTTGAATGTGGCTGTGATGAGATCCTGGTGTACCAGCAGGAGGACCCTTCTGTGACTTGGGATCAGGTGGTTCTCCTTATCAAGGAAGTCATCAACAGGAGGTGTCCAGAGATCGCCTCCAACAGCCGGACGTCCTCAACGGAAGCTGTGGCAGGCAGTGCGCCCCTCTCCCAAGGCTCTTCTGGGATCATGGAATTGTATGGTTCTGACATTGAGCCACAGCCCAGCTCTGTGAATTTCATAGAGAATCCCCCAGATCTCAGTGATTCTAACCAGGCTCCAGTGGATGTCAACATGGACCTTGTTAGTCCAGATAGTGGGCTAGCCACCATCCGCAGCAGCCGCTCATCCAAAGAGAGCTCTGTGTTCCTCAGTGACGACAGTCCGGTGGGAGAAGGCACTGGGCCTCACCACAGCCTCCTTCCAGGCTTCGACTCTTACAGTCCCATCCCCGAAGGGGCAGTGGCAGAAGAGCATGCACGGTCTGCGGAACACAGCGAACACTTTGACCTCTTCAGCTTTGACCCAGCTCCCCTGGTTTCTGGGCAGTCCCAGCCGTCTTCCCATTCTGCAGACTACTCCCCAGCAGATGACTTCCCCAACAGCGATTCATCAGATGGACAGCTTCCCCCTGGGCCAAAAGGACTTGATGAGATAGGGACCAACATGTCCAATTATTCATCCAGTTCACTTTTGTCCGAGGCTGGCAAAGATAGCCTGGTGGAATTTGATGAAGAGTTTGGTCAGAGACAAGAAAGTCTGGTTGAAGATGCTGAAGGAAATTTAAGCCTGAAAGGTTTTGTGGGAGATGAATCTCCTTCACCAGAAAGGCTGAACAATTTTGGAAAGCAAATTCCACCCACACGTATGAATAGCTTTGTGGAAAGCTCACCATCCACTGAAGAGCCAGCCTCTCTCTATCCAGAAAACACAATCCCTAAAGCAATGGATACAGGTCACCTCGAGCTACCTCAGACCCAGACCCGGTGTAGCAGCTGGTGGGGTGGTTTGGAAATTGACTCTAAAAATATTGCAGATGCATGGAGTTCTAGTGAACAAGAATCTGTTTTTCAGAGCCCTGAATCATGGAAAGATCATAAGCCTAGCCCCACTGATAGGAGAGCTTCAGATTCTGTCTTTCAACCAAGGAGTCTTGACTTCCCGAAGTCAGATCCCTGGGAGTCTGAATTTGGTCAGCCAGAACTTGGTAGCAATGACATTCAAGATGAAAAGGAGGAAAGCTTACAGTTTCAAAACCTTCCCGCTGAGAAGTCCCATTTACCAAACGCTTCTCCTCAGGGAACAAATCACCTGATAGAAGACTTTGCTGCTTTGTGGCAGTCTGGTCACTCTCCCACAACAATGCCTGAGCCCTGGGGAAATCCCACCGATGATGGAGAACCAGTGGCTGCTGTGTCATTCGCAGCCTGGAGTGCATTCCATGAAGAAGATAATGCTGAAGCTTTAAAAAATACTTGGAATCTTCACCCGACAAGTGGCGAGACCCCTTCTGCGAGGAACCCGAATGAGTGGGTGATGGCGAAAAGTGGGTATTCTTTTTCTTCAGAAGACCTACTGGAAAGTTCAGCAAGTGAGGCAAATAATGAAGCAGCTCCAAAAATCTGGGGCAAGAAGAACAATGACGCTAGGGTTAATATCCTCGTATCTGGAAATCCCACTTCCAACCTGGAGCATGCATGGAATAATTCCCAGCCACCAAGGGAAGATCAAAATGGTTTGGTGGATCCTAAAACTAGGCAGAAGGTATATGAAAAAGTAGATTCCTGGAACCTTTTTGAGGAGACTGTTAAGAAAGGAGGGACAGATGTCCTAGCTCCTTGGGAAGATTCCTTCTTAGCATATAAATGTTCCGATTACAGTGCATCTAACGTAGGAGAAGATTCAGTGCCTTCTCCCTTAGATACCAACTACTCCACCTCTGACTCTTACACATCACCAACGTTTGCTGGAGAGGAAAAAGAAACAGAAAGCAAGCCATTTGCTAAAGAGGAAGTTTGTGAGTCTAAAGATGCTGACCCAGCTGTAGAGGAGGCTGAAGTTCCTCTGCAGTCGTTGCAGCAGCCTCCTAGAAATCGCATCACTTCAGGTCCTGGGAACCTAGAAATGTGGGCTTCCCCTCACACAGATGATCATCCTGAAGTCACTGTGGCTCATGACCCAGATAAAGATTTTCTCCCAGCAGAGCACATCTCCATAGAGGATGGTGTCGGGGAGAGCAGCCAGTCCAGCTATGACGACCCCAGCATGATGCAGCTCTACAATGAGACAAACCGACAGCTCACACTACTGCACAGCAGCACCAACTCCCGGCAGACGGGCTCTGACAGCCTCGACTTGTGGAACAGAGTGATTCTCGAGGACACACAGTCCACCGCCACAATCTCAGACATGGATAACGACTTGGACTGGGATGACTGCAGTGGTGGGGTGGCGATCACCAGTGACGGCCAGGCGGAAGGATATGTGGCTGAAAGTACTGAACCAGAAACCCGATTTTCAGTGAGACAGCTGGAACCATGGGGCACAGAGTATCAGGACGAAAATCAGATAGATTGGGAGCTCCCTGCCTCCACTGAGCACGCCAAGGATGCTGTTCCCAAAGAATACCACACACTGAATGAGAAAAATGGGCAGCTAATTGCAAACAGTATCTGGGATTCTGTCATGAGAGATAAAGATGTGTCATCATGCAGGTTACCAGGCCCCTCATATATGACAGATTCAGAGGAAAACAATTTGCCTCCTGAAAGTCCCAGCCATTCAGCAAATGCTATGGACAGTAGTGTCACAGATGAGCCAAAAGCCTCTGGAATCTGTGAGTCAGCAGCATGCACACCTCATCCTGATGAGCAGGACACATGGACAGGAACCCTGCCAACTGACACAGCACCCTTGGAGGCCAGGCCTGAGAACCCAGGACATGCTGCACGCTCAGATCCATGGATGGGTCACAGCTATAGAAATAATGAAAGTGAACATGAAGCCCTGGGAGCCTCAAGCAGAAGGTGCCTTGATAAGGAGGAAGTGATGGGCTCTGAGGACGAGAGTGCCCAAGGGACTGCGGGAAAAGGGGCTGGTGACCAGGAACTCTCTTCTCCAGCTGCATCTGAATACCAAGAAATCTACACCGAATCAGGCAAAACCAGATCTCTTCCAGCCACTTGCAGTCCTCAAACAGAGGAACCAAAGGAAGTTTTAGAGTATGAGGAATCTGATAACCTAGACCCCTGTGATACACAAACAGGGATGTCCACAAATGACCTTCAGGCAAAGGAGACCTACGAAGAGCCCCTCATGGATCACAACAATTCAGGGGAGGCTACTGAGACTCCAGGTAAGATGAATTTAACAAAAAATGTATCTTCATCTGAGATGGATCTTGAGAAAATGGAAGAATATAACATTCTGGAGCCAAAAAGAATAAACGAAGGGCCACCTCATGAATCGCCCCAAAGCCTTGCTGTTTGGGATGGCTCTGTAGACAGTGACATGCAGGACAATTACACAAGTTCTGAGATAACTAAGACTCTTGAAGTAGAAAATACGGAAAACAGCCTTCCAGGAGCCAGTTCATCTGGAAGTTATGAGAAAGACAGTCTTTCCAGTGATGAGTATACACACTCAAGTGCATCAAGTCTTGACCTAAACGATTCTTCAGCTGCACTGTCCTCCTGGGGCCAGGGACCCAGTACTGAGCCTCAGAAAGAGAATCAAGATGAATGGAGTGAACAGAATCACCAACAATCTGAAGTAAGGACCACTGATGGCCAAATAGAAGTAATCACTGAAATGCGGAAGCTAGAGAAAAATAGGACTAATGAGCTTGAAAAGAGCTTCGATCCAAAAGTTCCTAAATTTTTAGAGATTTGGAATGATTCCATTGATGGTGATTCTCTATCCTCTTTATCAAGCCCTGAAACAGGCAAATACTTTGACTATTCGGGTGCGGATCAGGACAGAAATCGAGTGGTTAGTCATGAGAACAGTAAAAATGCTGTTCCTGAAACTGTGCAGCAAGAGGATGCCAAGGTCATTTCAACAAATTCGGGCTCTGGTGATAATAGTGGAGGTAATGAAGAGTCAATAGAGAAAGAGACCCACTTGGTCCCTTGTCAAGTTACACAGAGTAAATCCAAAGCTTGGGATGCATTGAATGAATCTCAATTCTTGACCATGGCAGAACCCAATGGTGAGGAGTTTTCTGATTCTGTAGGTAGTGTAGAACTAGCAGACAGTGAGAATAAGTCACATACATTGTATGACAGTCAAAGCAGCTCTGAGCACTGGAATTTCTCACCACTCACAGACACTGAAATTCAGATCACAGCGGAGGAAAAGGAGACACGACCTTCTCCAGAAACAGGGAAGATGAGAGATGAACTGTGGCAGACATCTCCCAAAGCTGAACCAAAGAATGAGGCTCATTCTGCATTGGAAATGCTTGGCTTCTCAACTGAGAGCAGTGAGTGGTGGGAAGCCCCTCTGCAGGAAGGGGGACCCACTGACAGTGCATTTCAGGGGGTACTGTCTAACTCGAGTGATGTGTTAGCAAGGAATTCTTCAGTATATCCAAGTGTGGGCCCATGGGGACTCTCCACTAAGGGTGACACTGAGTCCAGGCAAACACACTGCACGAATCTTTTCAGTGATCAACTTCAGCCACCCTTCCTGGTTAGTAATGGGGACAACTCCCCCAGGCAACTTTGGAACATCCAACCAAGACAGCCAGACCCAGACGCTGACCAGTTTAGCCAGCTTGTAATACTGGACCAAATAAAAGAAAAAGATTCCAGAGAGCAAACTTTCATGTCTTCTGCTGGTCATGAGCTTCCTTCGGAGACACCCACTCAAGAGCAGTGTCAAGATACCATGCTATCTGTCTGGGCTGGGCCAGACCCAGCAGTTACTCACTCAGATGAAAATGGGTACATTACAACTAACATCTCAACTGAGCATCAGGAAGCAAACTGGTGGGAACAAGAACAACCATACCTTAGTGAAATGACACATTCAAGCACTGCCACAGAAAACTTCCCTGCTGTCCCTTCTCCCAGCCAGTTGATAAAGAAGTCAGTCTCTGAATGGAATGGCTCCAACCCTAAAGAGGGTTCCCAAGGCACCTTTGCACCAGATATTTTACATGGCAACTTCCAAGACGGTGGGCAGCTGCCCTCAGCCTCGCCTGACTTGTGGATGGATGTCAAGCAGCCCTTCAGCCTGAAGGCAGATGGCAAGAATCCTGACATTCTCACTCACTGTGACCACGACAGCATTTCTCAGGCTTCCAACAGCCCTGATGTGTGTCATGATTCCGAAGCAAAGCAGGAGACTGAGCAGCATATCAGTGCTTGCATCAAACCTGAAGTGGAATCCAGTGAGTTTTACCTCACTGAGTCAAAGATAAATGAAGACCTGAGTCAGAAACCGGGGCAGGAATCTGCCCCATACCACAAACTCTCTGCTGAAAGCGTAATTCCTCTGCCTCCGGATGCCAATCAATTGAACATAAATGGCTCCTCTCAGCCTGCCTCTTCTATAGGTTCTCCTGAGCATTCTGAAATGAATGATGACAACAATACAGATTTAGACGCACCCAAAGCAGAACTCGGAACAGATACAGCACCAGTTTTGGAACTCACTGACAGGACAATCCAAAGGGTTGAAAATGTGAGAACCCGTATTTTTGTAACTGACCAGGAGCCAACTACGGAAGGCAACTGCTCCTGGGTACCGGAGGACTTTTCTCCTGAAAGTCAGACAGGCTCAAGGGCTTTGTCTAACTGTGAACCGCCCTCTGCTCCTGAGACTCCTGCCACCATCGCTGTTTCACTGGCCTCCAGTACCTGTTTGGATGTAAGTGAAGCTGCCTCTGACCACAGTTTCAGTGATGCCTCAGGTCTTAACACTTCCACGGGCACAATAGATGATGTGAGTAAACTGACTCTGTCAGAAGGCCATCCTGAAACACCCCTTGATGGAGATGCTGGGAAGCAAGATATCTGTTCATCCGAAGCCTCGTGGGGTGAATTCGAATATGATGTAATGGGCCAGAACATCGATGAAGAGGTAATGAAAGAGCCTGAACACTTCTTCTATGGTGTTGACCCTCCCTTGGAGGAAAACAGTCGGAAGCAATCTGTGGCACCCTACACGCCTCCCTTTGACTTGTCCTATCTCACAGAAGCCCGCCACGAGGCCGAGACCACAGAGGAAGCTGGGTCCCCAGAGGACGTATCTCTGGGAAGTGAAGCAGCAGAGATGTTGCTTTCGGCACTTCCTGATCAAAGCGAGGGAAACCACACAGAGACTAAAAGCAGACAGCCTGGACACCAGCCGGTTGTGCTGCACATTCATGAAGACCCCGAGTCAGTTTCTTTGGCCATAGGAGAAGCAAGCTCCAACTTTGGGTCATCTCCATCAAACATTGACTGGGAAGTTGAATCAGATAATTCGGACTCACCAGCAGATGGAGACATGGGACCGCCAAATGGTAAGAAACATCCTATCCCCTTACCCCCAAGAAGCTGCTGTTTCAGTTAAAGCAATGTGATTCTAAAACAGACTCTTCCTATCAATTAGGTAAAGAGAAAACCAAATTTGCAATTCATGACAACCAAATTTTTATAATAGTAGAATCTAGTGCTTATAAAATAATACCTTTCTCTGATCATGCAAGAGAAAGTTAAACAGTTCTGCAAAACAGGTGTTTCTTAAATTATCTCTTTTTAGATAATTATTTGCAAAGATGACAAATCACACAATGTGTTAATTAAATCTCTCCTCACTTTCATTTCCCACTTCTAGGTGCCAACAAGGCAATATTAGCTTTAGAAGAAGAAAAAATAATCCCTGCCAAAGAGCTTAAGGAGATAAAATCAGAATATACAGAAGAAAGATGGACAAGGAAGAGTGAAGACCAGCATGCAATACACATGGATTACATTCTTGTAGGCCAAGAGCAAAATTCACCCCTGAAGCCAGAGGCCTGTGAAGCAGGAGAAAGTATGTCCCAGTTAGAAGCATCATCCACAGGTTCTGAAGAAACAGAACTGCCAGGCTCTCAGGTACAGAGCTTCCCAGATACAAGTCAGCCTGTCTCTTTAAATGAAAGCAAAGATCATTCTATAGAGAGACTGTCACCCAAAGATGACAAGAGGTTGTCTCTTGAAAATTCTGACCAAGAACAGAGTTGGATGGTCTTGGGCTGTGGTGAGGTTAGTGGTCCATCACCGGAAGCCATGGATGCAGGGACCGGATGGGCTGACAAGACTGTGGAGCCAGTCTCTGATCCAAGTATGACCCAAGTTTCCCCAATGGAAGAAATGAAGCCTCTAGAATCTTTAGCATCAGAGGAAGTCTCCAGCCTGAGCAGCCAATCACAGAAGATCAAGAGCCGAGGTAGGGCTGGCCACAGCCCAGTTCTGTTGCAAGGTGTCACCCATGACAACGAGTGGGAAATGCTTTCCCCACAGCTGCCTCAGACAGACAGGATCCCTGAAAGGGAGATGGAGGAGGAGACAGAGTTCCTTGAGCCTGGAACCAGGAAACCAAGACCAAATGGGTAAGTAAAGTGCTAGCTTTATTATTTTTCCTAAAAACCATTTTATTTAGAAATCAGGGAAATAGTGAGTGGTCATGGAATATGATAAATACACAGGTGATAAAAGCTCTGCTTATGTATTATTGCAAAGCATATCCTTAGTAAAAGCAGCTGGTAGAGAACTATAATGAAAACAATGACTTGTGTACATTTTCAGCCCAGAAAGGCCCTGTGTACAGAGTTGGTACCTTCCCTCCTGGCTCCACATCCCTCCTACTTCAGTACCTGTGAGATGTGACACAGGCAGTTGGATGTAGGGTATAGTAGCACTAACATTTATTCAGCACCTACTATGTGCAAGGAATTTGCATACAACATCTCCTTAATGCTTAAATCCTTAATGCTAGTGGAGGAGAGAAAGAGGCTTTTGGAGGAAAAGGGACTGGAGGCTCAGAATGTTTTTATAACTTTCCTAAATCTAAGTAACTAGAGACAACACCCTGGGCTTCAAAGATTCCCACCTCCAAAGCCTGTACCTTTTGGCTGACACTCTGTCTTACAGAAAAGCTGCTTTCTGGTTTTATGTAAGCACCTAACTTTCTGTAGAGATAACAGGACCCCACAGCAGGCTCAAAATCCTAATGTGAAATATTTATCCTGTCATTAGCTGAGAAGTTAGCAAACAACCATCAAATCCGTGATTCCATTATTTATCCATTCACTCAAGTGTGTTTTGAGACTATTCTTGCTATGTTTCTGGGCAGCCAGCAGGCATATGACAGGCAATGGGGCATCATTGCTGCCTTCGAGATTTTAGACCCTGCTGAAAATGAAATGTTTTCATTTCTCCTCTTGGCCCTTATAGAGCCCACCTCCTTCTAAGGGCAAAACAGCAAAGGTGAAATGCAAATTAAGCACAAGGGAAGATGATGATTTCTCTTTAAAATGCACTGGAGCACAGTTATCTTTTTCCTACTCCATTTACGAGTGTAGCAGACTGCACACACGTGTGCTCAGTGAGAGCCACGGCGCTGGATTCCAGCCTGGCTCCACAGCCCCACCAGTTACATATTTCAGGATTAAGTCCAGGCTTATGTTTCTTCAGTCATAAAATTAGTAGGTTGGGCTGGATGATCTCAAGCCTTCCTTCAAACTTTATGAACTTGGTTTGCATGGAAGCAGCGTGTGTCCAAGATAACCCTGACATTCACAAATTATATTCCTTGAGGTGAGGAACAAAGAGCACAGAAGGGGTAGCAGAGTGTACCTAGGGCTACTGCAGTGCCATAGGAGTGGAAAGCTGTACTGTTTTCAAGTCCAGCTTCAGAAATGCAGGCATTTTCAGTTGGCCTAATCTCTCTGTTCCCTGTCAAGCTATTTCCTTCCAGAGAGACCCTAGATACATTTTCCAAAGGAGAGCAACAGATGGATCCCAGCAGCCCTTCTGGCATTGTTATAGATTGAGTTGGGAACCCAGCATCCGTGAGCTAGCTGAGCTGTTGTTTGGCTCCCTAGCTGCATTTCGCACATGCTCCTGAAAACCAACAGAGGACAGTTCTCCTCCAGTTGTGCCTCGAGCACCTTTTCTTTCCCCACCAACATTGCTGTTACCTTTTGCACAATTTACTCTCAATGTATCTGAAAGTTTCCCTCTATGGTAATTTTGGGGCATGATACAGGATTGTCCAAAACAGTGGTTCTCTAAGTGTGACATCAGTACCTCCTGAGTGCTTGTTAGAAATGCAAATGATCACACACACACACACACACACACACACACATACACACACCACCTTCCTCTCCATCAGAAAGTCTGGGGTGTGGCCAGCTTGGCTAGAGCAGCTCCTCCTAGTTATTTGGATATATACTTCAGCTTGAGAACTACTGTTCTGAATCATACCCCTGGCCTTCAAAAAGTTTAACATTTAGACACCTATTAGACATAGGTGAAAAGGTAGATAATAGTCAAGACAGTTTATGACCAATGCCAGTTTAATATAAGTAGCTAACAATTATGGGCATTTGCTGGTAGACCAGCTACTAGATACTCTACCTCCACTATCTCACTTGACACCAGGCAACAGTGTGAGGTGAGATTACACAAGAGAAAGAATGATAAGAGATGTCTACTTAGGGAGCCAGTACAAGGGATGATTTATTATCCAACAGACACAAGAGGCAGAGTTACCCAGTCCCACCATACCCCTTAAGGACCCAGGAAAATGTACTTTTTTTTTTAAAGTAAAAAAAAATAAATTATTATACTCCTGCATTCTGTTTGCCTTTATACCAAAATAGTTCCAAACTAAATTTTAGAAAATTTTAAGGAAAGAAGGGGCCAAAGAGTGTAGGAAGGCCCATAAAAGCCCCAGTGCAGCTAAGAAGTACAAGAAGAGTTGATGTTAAAGGAAGATCATAATTTGGAAAGGCAAAGAAGCAGGTAAGAAGCCAGCCAAGGCTGAAGAACTGGGAAGAATAAGAAGAAGGAAATTGTGGAGACCGGAAGGTAATCACAGAAGCACTATAGTAAGGCATTCAGGGAAGGAGAGTGAGAGACAGAGAGAGAGAACTCATGTGACTGTAAGGTGGGCAACTCCAAACTGTGCAGGGCAGGCCAGCAGCCTAGAAACGAATGGAGGCAAGAGTCACTACTGAGTTGAGTCCAGATTCCGAGGGTGGCAGCCTGGAAATGCATGGGATTCTGTCTACCTTGCAGTCTTAATCAGAATTCTTTTCTTTTTAAAAAGAGATTAAAAACAATGCTGCAAAATTTCAAAACAAGATAATAGAAGGGTAAGAATGGTTAACGCATTGTGCATCGGTACCTTTAAAGTAATTTCAATCAGAATTCTTCATGAAAATTTAGACTGTTTTTAAGGCTTTTGGTTGACTGGGTGAGGCCTGCCCTCGTTGTGGAAGGTTTGTTTAGAGTCTGTTGATTTTGATGGTGATCACTTCTAAAAAGGCTCTTTGTGGCAGCACCTAGGCTAGTATTTGACCTGAGAGTCACGCGCTCACTAAGTTGGGAAATGGCTTTGACATGAGTCATTACAGGTTATATTCAAAAACCAGAGCTGTACACTAACTAATCATCCACCCATTAAAAATGTCAAACTCCCCATCCAAACTATATAAAATTATGACAATGCGTACACAAATGTACTGGATTTTTCTGGGTGCAGGATGAGGAAACAGGTGTGTATGGTGATGAAGGGAAATTATTTCCAAGAGGACAGAGAAAATTGGTGGTGTGGCTGTCTTGTCCTTCAGTGAGATGCAGTGATAAAGGGTGTGGTGGACAGTTGCTGTGGTCATAGTACCTTTGAAATAGAGTGCTATATTTGGAAATAACCTGGCCCTCCTACTTGCTGAGGTAGACTTTGTTTTCTAGCAGTGTGAGTTGAGTTGTTCAGTATCCCTAAAATAAAAACGACCTTCAAAACAATATATTTCATATCCTACACAATCTACTTCTATGGTGACCTCTATGTATTCTATCTTTCTAAATTAGTGACTTTGAACTTTTTCCACCTCATAGGCTATGAACAAGAGCTCATTTTTTCCTTCATGAGTGACACTATTAGACCTTTTAGTTTTTCATGAGAGTTTCTAAAACCAGGCTTTTTCCGTCTATGCCGTATCTTTGGAGAGTTGGCCATTGGGTGTCTTACCCCATGCATGTCAAAAACGAAAATCAGATAAAGAAATAATTCACAGACTCTTTCCTGTCATGTTGTGTTGGAAACTCTGAGAAGGATCCACTGTTTGAGCATAGGTAGCCCCACTCTGCATCTTGTTGTTTTGATAGTCCATATTCCAGCTCCAAATAATATTCACCCTTGCTCAGATATGAATTGGTATTCTATAAACTCTGCCTTTCTCTTGTCTATTCACTATCTTTTGGCTTTTTCCTGAACCAGACATGGAAGACTAAACTTGGCATTAGCACTGTGCTAACGTATTTTAGAGTTGGTCTTTCAGTGTGCTGTGTCCTGTGAGCTGGTGGTGACAATGGCAATACTGTCTCACAGAAAATCCTATAAAACTGGGAGACATGGCTCAAGCCTGTAAATCCAGCTGCTCAGAAGACTAAGGCAAGAGGAACACAAGTTTCAGGCCACCCTGGGCAGCTTACAAATCTTCTTTCAAACTAAAAATAGAAAAGGCTGGGAATGTAGCATGGCGGTAGCGTGCTTGCCTAGCATGGTTGATGCCCTAGGTTCAATTCCCGGTATGGGAAGAAAAATCCCTGTCTTGGCTACTTTTCTCTCATTACTGAGACAAAATACCCAATGCCCAAAATTATGGAAGGAAAGGTTTATTTAGCTTACAGTTTGTGGAGGTTTCAGTCCATACTTGGCTGGCTCCAAGGCAGAGTGGCACAAGGCAGAGGGCACACGGTCATGGCAGCAGAAAACAGCAAAGACAACAAGAGCAAAAGGGAGGAAGGGTGGCAGGCAGTCTTTCCCTCCCTTACATTGTATGCAAACTACTCGCCCCAGGGGCAGGTGTAGCACTCATACCTGTAATTCCAGCATTGGACTATGGATCAATCAAAAATCTAGAAGCCTGCCCCAAGACTGCATGAGGATTTAGGGGGACATGCAGACACAAACCATAACAATCCCTTACACTTACAAGTTAATTTCTTCCTTTCTCTCCATTTCCTTTCTCTCCATTTTCCTTTCTCTGCATTTCTGGCTATTCCTGCCCAAAGCAGGTTTTTAATAAGTGCTTCCAGATTTATGAATATTTTATTTTCTTTGCTTTACCTAATTGGCATTTGACATAGACAGGAAAAGACTTACTATCCCCACCCCAATTCCCAGTTCTACAAGCAAAATGGCTTCATAGATGAACTGTTAATGTCATCCAGAAATGAGAAGGGTGAAGTTGCCACTTGAATGTCTTCTCACTTCTAGCCAAGTGCCTGTCAGTGAAATGCAGCTGCTAAACCAGACATTTCTCTTGAAACCTCTATAGACTGATGAATTTATTCCTGTTCTCCCATTGTTCCCTTG